CTGCAGCGCTCGGGCCGCTCGCGCTTCCTGCCCGCCGGGCCGCCGCGCTTCCTGGGCCCAGCACGGGCCGTGCCATTGCCCGAGCTCGGCTCTTCCCAGGCCGCCGCCGCCTTCTTCCTGGGCATCGTCGCGGCTGGAGGGAGACACGGGGCAGCGGCGCACAATGGACGGGTTATAAACTGCGTGGGGGGGAGGGGAGCGGAGACGAGCCACCCGGCCTCCACTTCCTCCCCTGCCCGCCCCAAGTGGCGGCCGCGGGTGGGCGGAGAGGGGGCGAGTTAGGAGAGGAAATTGTGCCCCTCCCTCGGTCCCGGCCGGCTCCTCCGGGGAATCCCGTACCGGAGCCGAAATCCGAAATTGCAGTCCTTCTGGGGAGGGGAAGAAAAAAAAAAAATGGAGACTCCCTCCTCCACCACCACCACCCCGGCCCATCCTCAAGTTAGGTTTGCCTACACCGCATCTCAATTGCAACCTGGTAGCCAAAAAAAGTAAAAGGAGCCCTTGATTCTCTAAATTTAATAAAGCTTCCGGACACTTTAAAGAGCCCCTTTTAGCACCTCGGTGTAAAGGAGCTGCCTCTACCCGGCCACCCCACCTGCTGCTTTTGTCTGCGCGCCCCTCTCCCAAGCCCACTCAATGAAATTTAATTTTCTCCACCTTCGCTGCCCCCTCTACCCCGGCGTCGGACCCAGCCCCAAGATCCGACCTCGGGTTAATTAACCGAACCAGTTCGGGTGGGCTGCCCCGGGCTGACAAAAACGGGAGAGCCAAGAATAAACCCCCAACCCCAAACACCTGCTCGCGAAGACACGAAAAATAAAACTTTAATGTTGTCCAACTCTCTTCCCCACCCGCTCCCCGAATATCCGAGCTCCCAGATCAGGACTGCAAAGTGCCTCGCTCCGCGTCTAGGTTTTCCCCAGCGTCCCCTCTCTTTCGCCCGGTTTGCCTTTTTTTTTTTTTTTTAATTGATTTTGAACAATGGGATCTCTGTCTGTCTCCGATTAAACCACGTGGATCCGCCTTCCTTCCCCTTTTTATTCATTCAATTCCCCAGCCCCCCTTCCCAGATCCCCCCCCCCAACCTTTTCTCCTTAACAGGGAAGGAAAAAAAAAAAAAACTTTCCCAGACCCCGCAAACTGATCCCTGTCGATTTCCAGTCCCTACCTGATTGGAGTGATGAGAAACCGTTGAGAAAAAGGAAGAGAAGCAACTAAAAGAAGACCCAGAGGGCTTTTTTTTTTTTTTTCCGGCCCAGACGAGGGCTCCAGCCCACTCACCAGATACACTTAAAATGTAAATACGAGCTTCCAGAACAAATGCTACAACACAAAACAGAAACACATGTGCCGTCGGGCTGCAAGCGAGCTCGCGGCGGGGCAGGCTGCG